CACTCCAGCCTGGGCAAGACAGAGTGAGGCTCTGTCTAATAAATAAATAAAAAATTTCTAGCTGGGCATGGTGGCTCACATCTGTAATCCCAGCACTTTGGGAGGCTGAGGCAGGTGGATCACCTGAGGTTGGCAGTTCGAGACCAGCCTGACCAACATGGAGAAACCCTGTCTCTACTAAAAATACAAAATAAGCCAGGCATGGTGGTGCATGCCTGTAATCCCAGCTACTCAGAAGGCTGAGGTGGGAGAATCGCTTGAATCCAGGAGGCAGAGGTTGCAGTGAGCCGAGATCACGCCATTGCACTCCAGCCTGGGCAACAAGGGTGAAACTCTGTCTCAAAAAAAAAAAAAAAAAAAAAAAAAAAAAAAAAAAATCCCTACGGGGAATCCAACAATCCAGAAGAGCCAAAACATTTTGGAAAAGAGAAAAATGGACGACTTTCATTGTCTAATTTCAAGACTTAATACAAAGCTTTAGGAACCAGGACAGTGTGGTGCTGGCAGTTGCAGAGGTACAGATCAATGGAACAGAACACAGAGTACAGGAATAGACTCAACTAGATACATATTCTTTTTTTACAAAGTTGCCAAGGTAATTCAAGGGAGAAAAAATATTCTCTTCAACAAATGGTGCTGAAACAGTTGAATGTCCAGATGAAAAAAGTTTAAACTACGAAAGCCTCTGCCTCTACTTTACTGTATACCATGTACAAATGTCCACTTGCAATGGAATACAGACCTACATGGTAAAGCCAAAACGAACACTTCTGAAATAAGAAAATCTTAATGACCTTGATGCAGGTAAGTATTTTTAAAAGAGGATGCCAAAAACATAATCCCTAAAAGAAAACACTGATAGGCCAGGCGCGGTGGCTCATGCCTGTAATCCCAGCAGGTGTATCATGAGGTCAGGAGTTCGAGACCAGCCTGACCAACATGGTGAAACCCCGTCTCTACTAAAAATACAAAAAAAAAAAAAAAAAAAAATTAGCCAGGTGTGGTAGCCTGCACCCATAATCCCAGCTACTCAGGAGGCTGAGGCAGGAGAATTGCTTGAACCCAGGAGGCAGAGGTTGCAGTAAGCTGAGATCCTGCCATCACATTTCAGCCTGGGTGACAGAGTGAGACTCGGTCTCAAAACAAGAAAGAAAGAGAAAGAGAGAAGGAGAGGAGAGAAAGAGAGAGAGAAAGAAAGAAAAAGAAAGAGGGAGGGAAGGAAGGGAGAAAAGAAAAAAGAAGAAAGACAACACTGATAAATTGGACTTCATCAAAATTCACAGTAACTGCTCTTTGAAAGACAGTATCACTGCTTAACAAACCATCTCAGTCTGTGGTGACTGAAAACCCACCACAATTTTCTGTTCGTCGTGATTCTGTGGGTTGTCTAGGACGTTTATCCACGGCTCATGATGGAGTCCCTCCTGCTGGGGCTGTGTGCTCCCAGGCTGGAACATCCACGTGCTCTGTTGTGCCTGGGGTCTGTCTTCACACAACCTCTACAAGTTCAACACAATCAATAGTGGTTCTCCATATAATCCATACACAAGGGTCAAGAGTAATTTTTTTCTGAGACAGAGTCTCACTCTGTCTTGCCCAGGCTGGAGTGCAGTAGAACGATCTCAGCTCACTGCAACCTCTGTCTCCTGGGTTCAAGCAATCCTCCTATCTCAGCCTCCAGTGTAGCTGGGATTACAAGCGCACACCACCACACCCAGCTAATTGTCATATTTTTAGTAGAGATGGGGTTTCACAATGTTGGCCAGGTTGGTCTTGAACTACTGACCTCAGCTGATCCACCCACTTCGGCTTCCCCAAGTGCTGAGATTACAGGCATGAGTCACTGCACCCAACCCAAGAGCAATGCTTGAAAAGATTATTACACCACAGTAGAAGTATGAAGCTTCTAGGATTAACTTAACAAAAAATACAGAATCTTTATATAGAAAATTTTTAAATGCTGTCAAAAGGGATGAAAGAACATTTAAATACATGATAAAATAACCATGTTGGTGAAAAATCATTGTTGAAATTGTGAAGTATTCATTCCACATCATTCATTTAAAAACGTTTTTTGTATTTTCTAATGCTTTGAAGCCTTGGAGCCTTGCTCTTCCCAAAGAAGCTGCCTCTTCCAGGGCCAGCCAGCCCTTTCTAAAGTAACATTCCTACGGAACAGGGAGAATGAACAGTAAGAAAGAAGTGACATTCTTACCGAAGTGCCCTGTACAATTAATGTGATTCAAAAGGAAACTGTCAGTGGGAATTTTCAGCAACTGGGAAAATTTGCTTCCAAAATTTGGGTGGAAAAATAAAATTCTCTGAATCGCTACTACCATTCTCGGGAAGAAGCGCCAACAGGAAGGAAGCCACTCTGTGGTCCCCAAGGCACACGGTTCGGAAGGTGTAGCCACTGAAATGGGCCTGCGCCACTGCGGGAGCAAATGAGCACGCAGCCCAGTGGGTGAGAGGGGGTGGCCAGAAGGAGCCTTAGGAACCCTCTGTTCATGCGGGAAGTGGACCCACAAGAGGGAGTCAGCAACTGAGAAGTGGCGTTGAGGATATCGGATCTCCATGCAGAGAAAAAAACCTTCAAGTGGATTAAAATACAACCATGAAAGGCAGAACTGAAAAAAGATGTTAGAAGAAAATAAAGACCATCTCTTTCTATCCTAGAGATAACTCCAAAATTCAAAAATTAAACAAACGAAACAAAACATCAGCCTCCCCCGAACACGCAGGTATCTTGTGTTCTCAATGCGCCTGGAGTACAGGAAACACTTTTCTGCGAACCTACACTCTTAAAACAGAAACAAAACCCGAGCAAGAAGCCTCAGAGACCTGGTTAGCAGCCCCAGGGAGCTGTGGGGGCTTCCAGGAGGTTCCTGAGAACCACAGGAGGACTCCTCTTGCAGTTCAAGGGCCCTTATAAACTCACTTTTTCCCTGCTACAGAGAGAAAACCGCTCCTACGTCCTTGCCCAAGACCAACTTCTCTTAATCAAGCTTCCAGAACCCTCCAGGTCTCAAGAATGTTCCATTACATACAAAAACCAAAGCCTACGCGTGAAGGGGCACTGTGGGCTGAGTGCTCCTTGCTGCTCCTCCAAGCCTGCACTGATTTCCCCATAACCACCCCCCGCAGTCCCCAGGAGAAAACTGCCTCCCGCACACGAGTGTCCCAGCCCCCACCCCGGGCACACGCCCTGTGGACCATCCCACCCTCTCCAGCTGCAGCAGAAAAGGAGTGTCCTCACCAGACTCCAGGCCCTGCCTTCCCCAGTGCCGGCTCCTTCCTGAGATGGGGGTTTTCAACGTCTCCTGTGGGGCAGCCCTGCTGCCTTCCACCCGGGAACACGTCCAGGCCCCTTCCTTGAGCAGCTGCCCGGGATCCCAGCCTCCCGCCAAGCCTCCCTCTTCCTCCTCCTACCCTCCCGCTTTTCTCAGGTAGCAGGGAAAGAGCCTCTGTGACTCGTGTGCACTCCACAGCACCCTGCAGGGTGGTCCCCACCGCCTGCTGCTACCGCTGGCTGGCCTGCCCAGCTCTGTCCTGGACTGGGCAACTCCGTGGGCTCACCCCCTCTGGGGGTCCTTGGCTCCTTGGCTGCTCTCTGGGGCCTCCTTGGGTTCTGCTTGGTGAGGAAGAGCGTGCTCCAGTCCTGCCCCCGGCTATGCACAGCCTTTGGCCCTGTCTCACCCACCCTACCAGTTGTGCCCCCTCGTGTGCTGACCCCAGAGCTGGGCCTCTGTGCCTCCTCCTGTGGGTCCTGAGGACTCAGAAGTCCTGAGGTCGGAAGGGTCCTGAGGTCTGGGGGGTTGGGTCCTGAGGTCTGAGGAGTCCTGAGGTCTGGGGGGGGGAGGTCCTGAGGTCTGGGGGGGTGTCCTGAGGTCTCAGGGGTCCTGAGGTCCGGGGGATCCTGAGGTCGGGGGGTTCCAGAGGTCCGCGAGGGTCCTGAGGTCTGAGGGGGTCCTGAGGTCTGGGGGGGTCCTGAAGTCGAGGGGACCCGGGCGGGAGTCACGTGGGACTGGAAGAACCTCCCCCAGCCCGGGGCAGCTTCCAGGGTCGCCGGTGCGAGCGAGCAGCCCGAGGAATAAGAAGGGCGGGGGGCCTTGGCCGGAACAGCCTGGGGCTCGGCACCCAGGGCCCGGCCCGCCGAGCGCCGAGCCGGACGCCCGCCCGCCCCTTCCTCCGTCCCCGCGCGCAGGCGGGCCGGGCGGCGGAAGGGGGCGACGTGGCAGCCTCGCGGGCCCGGGGGACCTCCCTTTCTCCCGGCGCAGGCCCCGCCAGGGGTCCCTGTGCTCCGGCGGCAGCGGGAGGCGGCCTCAGCCCCAGCGACTCCGCGGCCCTCGGGATCTGCGGCCCCGGCCCTACACCGCCCCGGCACCCCACGGACCCCAGAGGAGCTTCCAGGGTGCGCAGCTCCGGCTGGGCCGCCCCTGCCGGCCGCGGAGGCGTGGCTCTGGGACGCCCCGCCCCGCCCCGCTCCGCCCCGCCCCGCCCGGCGCGCGCGCCCCGCCCACGTCACCTCCTGCGCCTGCGCGCCCGGCCCGCTCCAGCCGCCGCGCATCCTCGGCCCGCGCCCCGCGCCCCGCCAGCCCCGGCCCCGCTCCGCGCCACAGGCAGCCCGACTGCGCTCCGGGCGGGACGGCGCGGCCATGAGGCTGCGGGGATGCGGCCCCCGGGTCGCCCCCGCCTCCGGCGCAGGGGCCGGCGACGCTCGGCTGCTGGCGCCCCCCGGGCGGAACCCCTTCGTGCACGAGCTGCGCCTCAGCGCCCTGCAGAAGGCCCAGGTGGGTGCCCGGGCGCGCGGCCCTCGGAGCCGGCGCAGACCCCAGGGGTGCGGGGCCCGGAGGCGCGGCGGGGAGGGGGCGGCGGGGGCGGCCTCGGGGGCGGCGCGGCCCTGCGAGCGGCGGAGCCTCCCTCCCCGCGGCCGCCCCTCTGCCCGGCCCCCGGCGCCCGCACCGATGCCTCGGACCCCGCGCCGGCTTCCCGCCGCCCGCCCGCACGTCCTGGCCCCTCAGCGCCTTCCTCGGGGTCCACGCGTCGCGCTCCTCTCCCGGGACCCCGCACCCGGAACCGCGCCCACCCCCCTTTCTCCGCCTCCCGGGACCCCGACCCCGGCCCCCGCGGGAGCCTGGATCCGCTTCGCCGGTCCCCGCGCTCGTCCCTGGTCCGGGCCCCACCCGCCCTGGCAGGCCCTGCGCGCCCCGCGGAGACTCCGGAGCGGCTTCTCCTGGACGCGGCCCGCTGGCGGGAGGGGACCGCGGCGCTGGGTGAGCCTCGTGCGCGGGCCTGGGCTGCGCGCACGCGGCGTGGGGCCCCTGTAGGGTCCGTCCCCTGTAGGCACACGGGGTCCCTGCTCTCTGGCTGCACGTCGCATTCCGGAGTGCGTGCTTCGTTCCTGTTGTAAGGGATGCTTTGTCGGGTCTGGTCTGTGACCAGGATCAACTTTACGCAACCTGGGCTGCCACGTGGGAGGGAGCGGTTTGCTGAGATCCTGCAATGGGACAGTGGTGTGAGGGAGACCCGGCGGCGCCGCGGGGAGGGGGCCTCTTGCTGCAGGAAACCTCCGGGGACGTGCTGGCTCAGCCTGGGTGTCTCGGCTCCCCGGCTGCCAGCTGGGCTTGCGGTTGCCCGAGATCCACTCTCAAGAGGGCCTTTTGACTCTAGAACAATTCTTCCAAGCAGCCACTGCTTCGGCTGCCTGTGGGGCTGTCCAGTTTCTAGGAAGCACACTTCCAATTGTGAGAATAAGATTTCCGGGAAGACGGAGGTTTTTGAATGTGTAAAGTATGGGAAAGAACACTAAAGTGAAAAGTTCTGGAGACTTTGAGGTTGTCGCTTCCCCAAGACGCCTGCTTTTGCTCAAAGCCCCTTGATGGGGCTGGTCCTCGTGGTGTGGAAGGGGACGGTGAGCAGGAGGACCCGATGGTGCTGCCCTCCCGCAGACACACAGGGCGAGGTCGTCCCCAGCCTGGCTCCAGGCCCTGACCCCCGCCACCGTGTGTATCCGGAGCCGGACTCTAGAGCTGGGGCGGTGCTGGCCCCTGTGCCCACTGGCCCCTGTGCCCACTGCTCTGCCTGGGCCTCCGCCTGCCGCATGCCGTCCCCTGCCGTGCGCTGTGCTTCTCCAAGTAGGGCTTGGGATACGGTCGCTCATCCTGTGCCCCTCATCCATTCCTCCTCTTCAGTCCTCACCCCACCCAGCCACCAGCCTCTCTCCCTGAGCCACTGTCAGCCCAGCAGGCTTTCTTCCTCCTGCGCTCTGCTCCTCAGAAGGCCCCGGGGGTGCCCCATGAACTCCCAATCCCTGCTGTGGTTTCCAGGGCTTTCACAGCCCCACGGCTGTCCCAGCTCTGTCTTGGCTGCCTCAGGAGTCCTCTCTCTTCCTGCCTTTCCTGGTCCCTCCTGGCTTCTTGGGAGAAGCATCAAGCCCCTCCTCCCTGGAGGTCCCCGGAGGCCACTTCCGCATCCCTGTCATAGTTGCGGCCCTGGGTCAGCAGGAGCACAGGGACGAGCTGTGTTTTGTCTAAAAGGGTGTGCCCACTGCCCTGGCGAGAAGCTGGGCAGAGACTCTCATGGTTTGGGTACAGAGGTCAGGGCAGAGCCAGAAGTGCCCAACCCCTGGGCCTGCTCTCCTCTCCGAGTCCTCATAGCAGTGAGCTGCTCCCTGTGGCCCTTGGGCAGGGGGTCACCGAGGGGCTCCTGGTCTGGAGATTGGAGATTGAAGCTTCAAGTCGCTTTTCTCCCGTGGGCTGAAGCCAGGCAGAGATCCTGGCTTTACGTGTCTCGGCCTCTCGGAGGGAGGGTTGCCTCGTATGCGCCTTGTTGCCGCTTCACAGGCCCCATGTGAGTGGTTGGGTGTGTTTGTACATCCAGCTGCTTCTGCTGGATGTGGCAGCGTGTGGCTCAAGGCTATAGTCTGTAAATGTTCTCAAAGTTCTCTGCAGAAACATTCTGCTTTTCACCAAGCATTGCTTTGCAAAGCTTTTACTTTTATGTAATATATTCTCGTAAAGTTTCCACAGAGTGAAATAGCCTATCTTTCTTCCCCAAATAAAGAAACCGGTCCAGTAGTGGCTGACACACTTGAGAACCATCAGAAACCCAGCTAAGTTCCCAGTTGAGATAAACCAGTGAGTACCTGCATTTACCTGTGAGCATTTGCCCCCTGGGAGGGGCTGCTGGGTGTCTTCGGATTAATGCCATGTGGGGACACCTCCTCCTCTGGCCAGCCCATCTGTCATTTAACTACAGATTTAGCGAGGAGCTTAAGTACCTCTTTGGACAGAAAACAGCACATTAAGATCTGAAAAGAGGTATCAAAGCCGTCAGGGTCTGTAATACATGCAATGTTGTAATCCCCTGGCTGCAGCAAGGATATAGAGCAGGCGTCCCCAAACTTTTTACACAGGGGGCCAGTTCACTGTCCCTCAGACCGTTGGAGGGTCGCGACATACCGTGCTCCTCTCACTGATCACCAATGAAAGAGGTGCCCCTTCCTGAAGTGCGGTGGGGGGCCAGATAAATGGCCTCAGAGGGCCGCATGCGGCCCATGGGCCGCAGTTTGGGGATGTCTGATACAGAGTTTGGAACAGTGAATAGTGTGGCGTAGGGTCTTGGTGAATTCAGCTCAAGTTCTTCATAGTCACACATTAATGTGTTGTTTTGAAGTCATGAAGTGGTTTTCTGTCACCCAGAGTTTTTGTGGAACTCTCCTTGGAATCTGTGGCTGTAAGCATTTCCCACCCTGGTTCTGATGCATTTGCCCCATTTCCAAAGTCTGTGCAGCTCAGACCCAGAGTCGGCAAGAACTTACTTCCTGGAAAGCCTAACGCAGCTTGGAGCTGAGTCCTTGGACGGGCGTCTCTAGCTCAGAGCGGAGGAGGCTGCTGGGTGCCCGCTTGCCCACGCTGGCTAATCCACAGAGAGGATTAGGGTGAGGGTTGAGTTCAGGGACAGATTCTGCCCCTCCCTGTCTGGTGGCCCTGAATGGAATTTACTCAAAAGTGAGCCATCTTTTTCTCCACATTTTTATACAAATGCCTGAGTTATGATTTGTTTTAAAAAAAAAAAACTCAGGAGCAGGGAGTCCTGTGCCTGCTACCTTGCCGGGCTCCTTATGCAGATGGCCGTGTTTGCAGTGTTCCTGACCCTCGGTGCCCCCCAGGCACACATGCACAGGGATGGGGATTTGTCAAGCTTCTCTGAGCTGCTCTGGCTGCCCACTGGATCCCTGGGTGCTGCCTGCCTGGCTTCAGTAAGATGGCTCTTGGCTCAGCCCCAGTGCTGTGCAGCAGGTGTGGAGGGGTGGGGTGGCCCAAGGAGATAGCCTGTGGGAGCACAGGGCAGTCACAGCCCATGGAGGAGACGCAGGAGAGTGCCTGGCCCTTGGGGACGATGGAGAAGACCAGCCTCAGAGGCCTTGGAGACAACGCCAGGCCCTCGGCCCCCAGCCGCCTTCTGATGATCTGGGTGTGATGGTGCCAGCTGTTTTGGCCCAGTAGAGGCCCAGGGGTCATTTTCCCTGTCTTCGCCCCTGGTCACTGTTATCCTCTGTCCCATGAAGAACAAGTAAGGACACAGAGGCCCAGGTGCTATGCCATCTCCCAGGCAGGGGAAGGCAGCGTGGCTTGGCTTGGCGTGGATGCCTGTCCTGACCTCGCAAGGAGCCCTGATCTTAGAGGAACTGACTTTATTCTCTGAGTCACCGAGAGCGTTTCAGGAATCCTTTCTAATTTTCTGTAAGGATGTGCTCATGAAACCTATTTGTGGTTGACTTTGAAAAGAGGGAAGGGGGATTCAAAATTGGGAAAGACTTTACTTTTCATTTTTTATAGGCTTCTGTCCTAAAACTTGTATTTCTAACACGAGTGTGTATATGAGAATATGTGTGTATGCACGCGTACACACACATACACATAATGGCATACACGCACATATACATGGAAGTGTGCACATACACATACCCGCACGCACAAGCACACGAACAGAGTTTTGTTTTACAGCTGACAGCAAAGCACCATCAGTTTCACGCAGAAATCTGTGATTGTGGCGTAAAGCTCGTCTTCAGCGGACACCGTCTTTGCACTCCTGTTTCACGGTGAGAAAGAGCCCTTTATCTTTATCATCTGTGCTGACTTTAAACTCTGCAGCTTCTGGTCGGTCTCGGGCCTCGAGTCTGGCGTGAGCCGTGGGAGCCGCTTTCTTCCCCTATGCGTGCGCCTGCTTCACGCACTTCCTGCAGACACAGCTTCCTTCCTCCCACATCAGCCCGAGTGAGGTGGCACCTTTCCATTCCCAGGCGGTGCTGACACCCAGGACTGCATCCCCTCGTCCCCTGTGTGGGGCGGCACTGCCAGGGGTGGGGGCTCCTGCCTGGGGACAGCGGCCTTTTCCAAACCTCGATTTGACTCTTGAATTTCAAATGTCCCCTCTGTTTCTGTGTGAACGGTGGTCTTTAGAAAACGTCAAGCTGTGGTCACTACCTGCTTCCATTTCATTTAAATCGTTTCTTCCTGAGAGTGGTACTCTCTGCAGTTGAATGATCTATTTCTCATATAGAAGTGTTAGGATTTGGTGCCTACAAAAGCGGCCACCCAGGAACCCTGCTGCAGGTGCCGGGTGCAGGACTCGACCCCCACACTTGCTGGGTGTTTGGCCGATGGCCAGTGCCTCTTGTGCCCACATGGGCAGAGTGCCCTCAAGTGCTGTGAGGGCCCAGGCAGTGGAGAACACAGCTCCCACCGCTCTTGTCTGAGAAGGCACCCTGGGCTGTACTGCTTGGCTGTGCCTGGTTGGGAGTATCCATGCCAGACTTCCCCGAGGTCATCTGTCTTGCTAAGCCATGTCCCTGTCCGTGACGCAGAGACTGCAGGCAGAGCCCTCCTGCCCTTCATCTTCCTGTTTCCAGGGCCCTTGTCCCCACGTGGCCCATGACAAAAGTACCACAGTTCCCACAATGTCCTGGGGCCGCGACCTCTCCCTCCCTGTCCTGTGGGCCTCCTGTGGGTGCTGGGGCGTGCTTACCATTCCCAGTTCCTGTTTCTAGCATCTCTAGTGTAAACCTTGAATCTAGCTGTGGATCATTTTGAAAATGAGCCCAGGGGAAAAAAGCACGATGCTAGGTTTGTGTTTGGAAATAACGTGATTTTCCAATGTGATCAGTGTTTGCCCTTCTGAAACCCAAGTCCATTCGCAACCCTGGGTGATACTTTGTGCTGTGTTAACCCCAGCGCGTCCCTGGCTTCTCAGCCGTGTTCCAGCAGCGTCAGCTGAGGTGTGTTGAAGGTGAAGTGCTGTTCTTGAACTTACACACAGTCAGCCCTCAGCTGCCCACAGTGTGGTCTCTGCTGTGCTGTGGTTGGTGGCCCGCCAACCTCGTGCCCTGTCCCCTCGTTCCCTGTGTGAGGAGGCACTGCCGGGGTGGGGCTGGTACCTGGAGACAGCAGCCTTTTCCAAACCTTGATTTTACTCTTAAACTTCACACTTCCTGCTTAGAGCCAGAGGAGTGAGTGATTTCCTCTTAAAAGTTATTTCCCACATACAAGCTTAAACAAAAGAAAAGAAAGAAAGAAAACAATCTCTCTCCCAGTTCTAAATGTTTCAAAACTCTTGGGGTAGAACCAAGTCTGGGCCAAGATGCTGGAGGGCAAGGGTCCTGGAGCCAGGGAGGCCTGGTGTCCGAGCACAGACGCGATCTCGGCGCCCTTGGGACAGTGGGATGCCGCCAGGCTGGGCAGGCGAGGATCAGGGATGAATGCCTGGGCTCTTTGTAGTGGAGTCTGTTTGCTGTCCGAGGCTACCCCGGGAGGGCTTAGATCCACCTTTCTGCAGCAGTGAGTCACTGCCCCTATCAGGGACGGGTCATGCTCACCTCTGCACCGTGTGAATCATCATTGTGACATCGTCGTGGGTCCTGTGCGTCCATCAAGCTCAGCATGTCCCAGTGATCTGGGTCATTTCTGCCTCCCCAACAACCGCCCCCTGGCAGTGGCCCCCAGCCCTCAGCAGCCCTCCCCCTCCATCCACAGCTGCACGTCAGGCTGGTCACCTCTGTCCCACCTTGTGCTCAGAGGAGTGGACATACTTGTGAGGGCCCGCAGCCCCTGCCCACTCCTGTTCCACCTGCTGGCCAGGACCAGGGGTCTCCCTGCAGCTGGGGTAGGCGGAGCAGGATGTACTGGGTGGAGGGTCTCCCATGGCTGGGGACAGGGCCAGGATGTGCTTGGTGGCCTCCCTGGAGATGGTGGCACAGACCCACAATTGTGGGGACAGAGGCACACCTGCAGCTCGGGGGAGTGAAGGGCAGCCAGGATGTTCTGGGGGGCTCCCTGTATCTGCTGGTAGTGTGAGGCAGGGTGTACAGGGCAGGCTGGGGGCTCCTGCAGCTTTCGAGGGGCTGGGCCAGGATGTTCTGGTAGGGGAGGGGGTCTCTGTATCTACAGGTAGTACGGAGCAGCATGTACAGGGCAGTCTGGGGGCTCCTGCAGCTTTCAAGGGGCTGGGCCAGGATATGCTGGGGGACTCCCCGTATCTTCGGGCAGTTCGGAGTAGGATGGGCTGGGCAGGCTGGGGGCACTCGCAGCAGGAGCCCCTGATACAGGCTGTGCTGGGGGCAGGGCTGCCACCGCCGGGGGCTTGGGAGGTGCTCTCCCCCAGGGCCCCCCTGGCTTTCTGCAGATATTTTTTAAACAAATGCAAGCAGTTGGAAATGTCACAGATCCTGACTTTCAGGATTCCTTTTGCTCAGACCGTGCAGATTGGGGAGATAGGCACCTCGGGAGGGTCTGTCTCAGGGCCTGCGCTGAGCGAGAAGGGTGCTCCCTGAGGGGAGGCGCGGCTCCCGAGGTGTGGGTGAGGGTTCTGTTGCGGCTGGAGGTGGGAGGTGGGGTCCTGGCGGAGCATGCAGGCGGGTCTTCTTGTGGGAATGGAGCCCGCTTCTCCTGAGCCCCCCAAGCATGATGTGTCGCTGTCTGCAGTGCCTGCAGGGTTCCCAGTCGCTGAGGTCCTCAGACAACAGCAAAGTGAAATGCTGCTGCAAGCCTCGGCCTGTCGGGGATGCGCTCCCAGCTCCGGGATTAAAGTGTGGGAAAGGTGCACCTTGGTCAGGGTGTGGCCTTTGCTTCGCTTCACCGTCTGGACTCTGGGTCCCTCACTGCGGAGCAGACCCCAGTGTTCTGGGACACAGCCTGGGGCTCAGGAGGGAGCTGCTGAAGGAACAGCCTTAAGAAGCCGCCTGTCACTGCGCGTGCTAGGTGTCGGCGTGGCCCTTCTCTGTGCAGCTGTGAGGCCCGTGCCCCTGCAGATGGCCCCGGGCTGCTAGGGCAGCAGGGCTGGCGTTTTGACCCTGTTTGTTGTTTTAGGCTGTCGCTCGCTGGCAGATGAGGCCCTGTGCCTGGCCCGTGCCGAGCCCCGCGTCCGCAGCATCTCCGTGCTTCTCCTGCCCTCGGCCTCAGGGACAAAGCATGGCCCTGCCGTCTCCGGCCTCTCCCAGCAGCTGTGGTGTGGCCCTGCCCGTGTGCCGCCCACCTGGCCACGTTCTCACTGGAGCTTCTCCACTGCTCCTGGGGTTCCAGGGCTCCCAGCCTCCGGGGCCCATTTCCGCATGTGGGAGCTGGGTGCCTTGAAAGCTGTCTGCCGAGGAATGTAATCCCTGCGTCCTGCCCCATGGGTGACAGCCTGTGGAAATAGGTCAGCTGTAACTGAGTCCCTGCAGGCTCCAGAGAGGAACCTGCAGCCAGTTTCTGCTTTTGGAGCTTTGCCTGCTCCCACGGTGGAGTGTGTACAGCCTAGGAACACACTTCTCAGCGCTTCTGCTCCCTTCCCTCCTGTTTCTTCTCGTGAGCACCTGCCGTGAGTAGGGCCCTGCCAGGAGCTGAGCCCGTGGAGTGACCAGACAGCCATGGAAGGGCCTCCCAGCCTGCAGCCTGCATCGCACCAGAATCTCACGTCTAGAGTATGGGGCTGCAGGATGGACATGGCGGACCTCATGTGGGGACCAGAGGGACAGAACTCTAGCTGGGAGCCCCAAAAACTTTAGGGAAGGGGGGTTTGTACAGAGCTTTGCAGGTGAGAAGGCATGAGGACTGCTTGGGAGACTGCGTGGGTGGGCACGATCTGGAGGCCGCCTTGGGGAGCAGTGGGTCGGCCCCGGCACCTGCCTGCCATCAGTCATCTTGAAGCAGGAACTGGGGCGTTGTCTGTGGTGCCCACATAGCCACCCTGCCTGGGCCCTCTCTCTGCAGGGCCTCTGCACTGTCTCCTTCAGATTTCTCAGCTGAGCTCGCACCCCTACCCCGTGCCCTTTCCCCGCAGGCCCACACCTGGATGCCTGTGTGTGCCGTCTGAGCCAGGGGTGCTGCAGTCTCCGTCGGTCTCTTCTGCCTGCATCTGGACGCCCTTTGTCCAGAGCACACATCGCAGGTGCTCAGAAAGTGTCTGCAGAATGAGTAAACGTGTTTTCCTTCACACACCTTTGTACTCAGTTTCTTACAAACAGCAGCTGTGTGTGGGCATCGTGCCCTGTGCTGGGTCGCAGGTATGAGCCAGGGCTTTAGGGTACCCCCAGTCCAGACTGATGTGAGGAAGCAGCAGCCCTGATGTAAGGAAGATCCAGGTGATGAATGCATAGGCCATACCTAGCTCGGGGGACCCGAGGGAGCCAGCCCACAGGGCACAACCTTATTCCCAAGGTGACAAGGTGTCCAGGAATCTGCATTTGTAGCACATGAGGTGAAGAGTTGAGATGTGGCCCTCCCTGGGCACTTAAGCAAGCTGTGTCTTCTCGGGTGACTACAGGGTGCTTCCCCAGAGGTTGGGGTACGATTCTACAAGAGGCACAGGCACTGGGTGCTGCAGGGAGAGAGAGCGAGAGGGAGGCTCTCCTGTGGGGTGCTCTTGGGCCAGGGCACTGTGACCCCTCAAGTGTCCGTGGGATGATGCTGCTGAGCTGCAGAGAGCGGTCTCTGCTCCAGAGGCACCCGCACCCCTCCAGGCCCCCTGCCCTCCAGGTCACGCGCCAGCGGCCCGAGCGCTGTCGCTGTCACCCCTGCGTGATGCAGGGTGCTACCTGCATGATGGCTACACCGCTGCCAGCAGTCC